GAGGTAATGCGATCAGTTGAAAGTAGTGCCTAGCAGAAATCAACTTTTTAACGATAGTCCAGGGCCGCATGATGATGAGAATCTTTTGTTCTCTTTCATTTCATCCGTTTTTCCCTGTAAGTATAGCATTTTGTTCCAATCGATCTGTTTATTCTTCAACAAAAGACATAAGTTTTTACACTCGATGCCACTCGATTTAGGAGATTTTTGCTGTTTTGCTGACCATGGAAAATCACAGGGATATAGGATAGGAAGAGTTCTTCTAATGAATTCATATCTTCCAGATCTCCAGTAGTGAGAAAGAAAAATGAAGTTAACATGGACGAGATGAACTAAGTTGAAATTAGAAGCGACGTCATCGTCACCTCTCGTTAAATTCGTCCGCTCTTCATGCCCACAAAAAAACTTAATGAAATCCTATTGGGATCGATTGTAAAAAAGTGGACCAACGAAGATCAAAATATGACTAAATAAACTCGTAATTAACTACACTAACCCTCCTAGCACTGTCCCTCCCTTGGCACGTGTGCATTGACTTCAATACAAATGCCTATCAATGACTTCACCCGTTAGTATTAAACGAATTTATCATAGCTTACAGATAGGTTTAATCGTTTGACTGTGTCTGAAGGTATAACAAAGAATCTACAGTTTTTTTCCTGTGTCATAGAAGTTCCCTTATTCTATCACGATAAAACACAGTTCAGCTGAAAGTCGTCTTAGTTCATCACTTTTTTCTCAATGAGGCTGATCTTATGACTAAAAAAGAAATGAAAAATTCACTAGTTGACAAGTAGTGAAGACGTGGTGGACTCCTCGCACGGCTTTCAAAACCTCAGAGGAGCAAAAGCTTTCACGGCCCTTAAATTAACAATCAAATGGAATTAGTGTTGCTAAGTTTGTAGTCATTTTCGTGAATCATGATGGCGGGCTATTCAAGTATTCAAGTCAGGAGCGGTTGAACAAGTAAGATTTTATCCAACAGGACCTTACGGTTCTCTCAAATGTGTCGTTGATGTTGCAAACTGCTGCAATTAAAATTCTCCAAGTGATAGGGTAAAGTCCCATTCATAAGTTCCTGACGTCTTCGGACTCTCAAGCGCTCTAAATACTGGGAGATCTTCGATATATTCCACAGTATCGTTAAGGACGTACCAAGCTATCTCTTCACATTATCTTAAGAAAGCTCGGCTAATCTCTAGAAGCATCGTCCATTATTCCACACTATTCCTCCTTTGAGCTCGTGTGGCCCAATGGTCGGAGGAGCCCTGCAACACACGTGGAATCGATCCCCGTGCCCAAGGCCCACCAGGCCTTCCATCCCTCCGAGCTCGGGGAATCGGTACCAGACTTGTCTGAGAGGATAGCAGCACTGGTTCGATACATCGCTAGGCCACCGCGAGTCATTGAAAAGCCATATCTGCATTCCGTCACCTCCAAACGATGCTTAAAAAAGTTTATTCCCCCTTTCATGTCTAATATAGCTTCCAAACACATTGTTCCCTATTTTAGTCGCATATGCGATTTCGCGCACAAAATGCTAGACGCGTTGAAAATAGTGGTATTAAATCGGCGCGTCATACTCAGAAGTTACGCTATTTCTTGTTCGTAAACCGTCACCACATGTCATCACCATTAAGACCTTTGCTATGGACCTTTCTTTAATTACTATTTACTTCATTTAAACAACCGGTCTTTTACACCAATTCTATCGACTTCAGCACATCTTAAATTCGATTCACTTTCTCATATATCCACGAAGGTTTCCTGACTTTTGCGTGTGAATTCGACTGCAACTCAAGGGCTGTCATCTTCTACACGAATGTCGTTGAATGCTGGTTGATCGATCGTCCCTGAAGTCCTCGGATAGGTGGACTAGAGCAGTCCCAAATGGATAGCAGAGATTGCACTGGCACCAGTATTACAAGCTCTGAGGGTAGGTTTTGGCGAGCCCGCGGCAGGATTGAACTAGTACTGCGCTCGGGATGGTTGACATCACTACCAATACGCATTCTCTCCCTAGTTTTCTTCAAACATTTTTTCCTTAACCATGAAAAATATTGAAACGTTAAACTTCTACTGCATATGTACGGTTTTTTAATCGTCAAAGCATTAAGAATTCAACTACAGGTCGAGATGGGAGGGAGATGTGAAGAATCAACTGAACGCACGTTTTTAGCTTTAATACTGCATTAATACGACTTCTACTATCGCAGTAAATACTTTGGGCATGATTCTGTCGACAAAGAATACTCATGGCCGATTGTAAAGAGAAAGTATCAGGAGGGAAAAGAACATCGAGCCATGCCAGACATCGTCGCTGAACGTCATCGGCATTCGACGTCATATTCTTAAAGGGAAACGAACTTCATACCTTTCATATTGGCACCAATATTACAATCCGACCTTTCAGCCACATAACCATCTCACGCATCTTTCTCACACCGAGTCTAAACCACTAAAATAAGCTGATATGGAAAGAACGTGACCCCTGACTGGTTTTAAGAAGCAGTGTTATGGGAAATAAGGTTCGAGAACGCAATAGGCGTGTGATTCGAAATCCCTTTAATAAACTTTAGTATAGCAAACCAATATGAGTAAGTGAAGAACTCTCCATAATTTCATTAACTGATGGTCTTATTTTGAACTTTACTTGACATCTGCGACATTTTTGCTTTTTGTTCAGTCCTGAGTGAACGAAGTAGAGAAGTTGGCAGAAGTAAAACAAGTGAAGAGTGAATCTTTATGTAAACAAGCATAACAATTAGGTAACAAATAGATCAAATAGCACGTAGAAGTTAAAGAAAGCTCCTGGTGTTGATCAATCCCTGAGGGATGCGCCATGCATTCGACTTCATCAAGCATCGTTTGGAGGTTACTGAATGCATATCTGGCCTTTACAATGACTAGCGATGGCCTACTGATGTGTTGAGCCAATGCTGCTATCCTACTAGACAAGTCTGGTACCAATTTGCCGGCCCCGTACGGATAGAAGGTTTGGTGAGCCATGGGCTCGAGGATCGATCCCACGCTTTCGACAACTGCGCCGCACGCGCCCAAATAGCACGTAAGGTCAAGCAATAAATCGGGTAAATCAGTAGGAAAATGAAAAAAAGTATGAGTAGACGCCTCTAAAGAGAAAAAAGAATTCGATTAAATACGAAATGCCAAACAATTGAATACGATGAGAGAAAAGGAGTAAGTTTATTGTGAAGATATGGCAGTAACATGGATATTTCTTTGAAGAATTTTTCAATAAAATCTTTCATTTTACTTCTTAAAGATATTTAAAGAAAGTTTTTGTCCCACATATTAAATCTTGTTTCATGACTTGCTTGAAGTCTAGCAGCTAATGATTTTTAGGCCGGAGAAAGGAGTTTTCCGAATTAGAAATGCTCAGCAAAATTTGTTCTCCGAGAGTGAGTCATAAAAAGAATTGAAGAAAAATAAAATATAATAAGTAAAATTTTGAAGGGAAAGAAAGCTCATCAAAGAAAGAATACATATTGATTAATGATACCGAGGTTCAAGGAAAGTCGGTTTCGAAATATGAAGGGAAAGAGTCTAAATGTGTTAAGTGAGAAGAAAACAGCTATTTCAGATGGTTAAACGGTTTCTTTATAAATTTACAATGCTGTTATACAGCTTACAGAATACTGCAATCTTTTCTTTGCAGTGATGATAGTGGAGTTCGTCGGCGAGCTCGAACTGTTGACCCGAGCGTCGGTAGAGAAAGTATGCCACGCACCACAAGCAGCTTCTATGCGTCAGTTAGACTTCACTATTTAACTTTTTCCCAAAAAAAAAAGTCTAGATACAGCCACATATGTTTATGAGAGCAGTTTTTAGAAAAAGCTCTTCTACTCCGTCTGCAAAATTTCCTGTTTTCGGATCTTTACAGGAAGACTTTAATCATCTTCTTCTATGGAAGGAGAAATGTCCGTTTGATTTCTAGTGGTCTCATACTTCCGACAAATCAGCGGCACACAAAACATCGATAGAAAGGCTGTATAGAAAGTGTTTCCCCTGGTTAGACAGTTTGATCCTATGATCATATAATGGCAATAATCATAATCGTTCGGCAGATGTAGCACAATTGTTTGAAGTGCTTTGCAATATACATAAGCCCAAGAGTTCTATCGCTACCCATGGCAAACTAAACACTCCATCTATAGCGGGTAGAGAAATTGATACTAAAGTTGTCTGAGAGGATAAAAGAATTACTTGGTATCACAATGCTAAGTTTTTTTACTTGCTACCTACTATTACTTTTTATGGCAGGATAAATAAAGGATAAAGCTCTCGGCGTTCATCAATCCCTGAGGGATGCGCCATCGTTGGAGGTGATTGAAAGCATATCTGGCCTTTACAATGACTCGCAGTGGCCTACCAATGTACTGATCCAGTGCTGCTATCCTCCCAGACAAGTCTGGCACCAATTTGCTGACTCTGGAGGGATAGAGGACTTGGTGGATCATGGGCGCGGGGATCAATTCCACGTGTGTGTCGCAGTGGCGCCTCCAACCACTCCGTTACACGCGCCCGTACGGAGGTGTATAATGCGAAATACAACCACAATGATGCTGAGATATTTGCAAAACTCCGGACTGCAGGTGTCTGTGGTGGAAAAGGAACACGCTATTGTCCTTCCCGGGGAGCAACGCGTTCACCACCACACCGTACGGGTCCTTCGTTTCGCCTGTCTGCCAGCTAGTTCTATCGATCAGTGCCGATTAATCATCACATGCAATAGGCCAAATATGCATTCACTCACCTCTGACGATGCTTGGTGAAGTCAAATGCATGGTACATCCTTCAAGAATTGATCAACTCCGATCGCTTTGTTCTTTAGCGTTTATTCTTTTTTTTAAATCACGACAGAGGATTAATTATACATGCAAAAGATGCCAAATAAGTTCATGCATGATGGGAATTACAAGATTTTCATTTTCTAGCGTATCGAAGTATTGAGTGAGAGTAAATGAACTGAAAAGGAATGTCTGCAAAAAAGAAATAGCGTTAGAGTTTCTAGGAATTCGCCAGTGACATCTCACACCGTGCGCCGGACACCAGTCGCGTTCGATCGCGGACCACACTTCGCCTACGATCGAGGCGGAGTTACTCAAGGTATTTTACGTTAATCGTGAATTTTCTGAAAAAGTTGAACCTATTTCTCATGTTTCTTGTTTTTTATAAGATGTGTTTGAATATAAGTATATGTATATGCTACTATATAATGGTGATTTGCTTCCACGACTATCACTTTGATGACCGCTAACGAAACCAGTCAGTTTCTCACATCTGAAAAGGGTTAGCTAACTCTTGTCGGATTCGTTTACAAGAACTAAGACGTCGGCTTTGTTATAATTTAAGAAATCATACGATCATTCAAGTCAAATTCGCCACATCTATGATTTCAATAAAAAGGGGCATGTGGCGCAGTGCTCGGTGGCGCCACTGCCACACACACACGTGGAATCGATCCTGGCGCCCATGGCCCACCAAGCAATCTATCCCTCAGCGATCGGCAAATTGGTACCAGACTTGTCTGGGAGGATAGCAGCACTGGCTCGATACATCGCTAAGCCACCGCGAGTCATTGAAAGGCCAGATATGAATTCAATTACCTCTAACGATGCATAATGAAGTCGAATGCATAGCGCATTCCTCAGGCATTGATCGACGTCGAGAACTCTATCCTTTTTATCCTTTATTTGAAGATGATGTTTTTAAGCAATCTGCTGCCATAAGCAAATTTATGATAACTGTTCGATTCAAGGAAAATGTTTGGAAATGCAAACAACTTCATTTTGCAGGATCTGTTTCGGGATACGCAAGTCGATGGCCTCCAGCAAGTAACGCCACTGGGGCTGAAGTTGTCAAAGATGAATGGGTGAAGGATATGCTGAGAGAGAGCGAGAACGGACTCATGACTACAATGTGCAGAAGTAGGTTAAGGTGCCGTCTAATAAAAAATTTCTGCAAATTGCAAGCCGATAAAAAATGTGGAGAACTTTTTAACTACAATGTAGTCTTATTGTTTCGAAATATGATTACGTCAAGTGGCTACAGTAAAATGCTTCACACAGAACAAATTAGCAAGTTGTCTGAAATTTATTTCTCAAGGTCTGAGAAAGACCACCTTACTGACCCTTCTTTGGTACTTCGATGTCTTGCCCTCACGTGACAGTTGCTGATCCTAGCCTTTCTTTCATTTTTTTTTCGTTGCCTTGACCTCGTCGTTCACCGAGATAGTCGTGTTTATGCGGATTCGATTGTCACTTAGGAGCTTGCCGTCCAAATTCCTTCGGAAAAGAACAAATGTTGGTTGAGCGTTTTTTCTCCGAAAACCCAAACTAGCCCTGCTGGGTCGTTGCCACGCACAGTTGACGATTAAAGGGAGGTTCATCGTCATTCGGGTGGGATTTCTCTAGGACGACATACTTATGTAGTGATGGCGATTCGGGCGATTAGTCAGTGACCAAGAAAAGACTTTGTACCAGGACCAATCCAACCAGTGTCTAGCTAGCCAAAACAACTCGCTTTGCATTCACTAATTGCTTCGTAGCATTGGTAATTCAGGTTTTTAAAATATTATCCAGTTTCTTATCTCTCATTCTTAGGAGGTGACGCTTTATAGTTTTTGTAATAAATAAGCCTCCATTTTCGGATTTAATAAACACGGAAAACCTACTATTTGAGCTGATAAGTGTTTCTACGGATTGGTCTTCGTCGTTATTGAGAAAACTTAGTTGATCGCTGAGGAGTAAATAAACAGATGGATTTTATCGATCAACTTCGGCAAAAATTTGGTAGCTGCACTCCAGTTCCGAGTACAATTTGTATGTCCTGTAAACTTATGTGGACTTAGGTAGCAATGTTTAGTCAAAACGATCAGACATTCAGTGGACGTTCAGCATAGTTACTCAACCGAATAAATGACTTTTCTTCACGACCTTTGGTAGGAAGGATGAAGCGTTCTGTGTTAACCATCCAATCTTCCAAAAGATTTGTCTTGCATTCGGTTCCATTCGTAACATCATAGAAGTGATTGAATGCATATTTGACCTATATGTTGACTTTCAGTTGTTTACCTATGTATCAGACCAGTGCTGATATCTTCCTAGACTAATCTAATAGAACTTTGCGGACCATATAGGAATGAGAACTTGATTAGCTTAGGAGGCGGGAATGAACTAACCATTATGTTGGTACTACAAGGCACCTCTAACCATGGCTTTACATACGCTCTGCTAGAAATAGTCTTCGAAATATAAAGAAGCCGAAGTTGGGGCTGGTGTCACAATAGTACATTGCATTTATGATTTCTATTTATAATAGAGATCCGTGGTAGATTGTACGAAATACTGATTTTTGTTCCTGTGGCGATGAGTATTTCCACCATTTCTTGATTAACGTTTCATTATTCTTGATCCTTGAGTGACGATCACATGGTAGTTGATGTGGTCAAAGGCACTGGTGCAAGATCGTAGTCAGGATTCATAATTATAGTACTTATACGGAGAGTAAAAAATGAATACCACTTAATGTAATATTATCTATGGCCTTCATTTAGGACTCCCGGTTTTTGGGTGGTCCAAAATTTGTTTGCCTCGTTTGCCATACCATCCGACATTAGTTCCTCAGCACCACAGTATGCTATCGAACTCGGGTTTATGTTTCTAGAGGCTATAGTCCCAAAACTTATCCCATCGGAGTTTTGGTTTCATGGAGGTTATGAACTCTTTCTCATATTGGGAGTAAGCCTTTGGGAAAAAAAAAGTGAAAAAGTGGAAGTATGCTGATGGCAAAAAGATCGATAGAACTAGCTGAGATACATGCAAAGCGAAGGACCCGGATCGTGTAGTGGTGAAGTGCGCTGCTCCCCGGTAAGGACAACAGCGCGTGTTCGTTCCCCACTGCATACATCTGTGGTCCGGAGTTTTGCAAATATCTCAGCACTTCATACAAGTGGAAGTATGTCAATAATCCAGACGAGGATGTGAACGTTGTCGAAACACAAGTCACTTTTATAGCAACGTTTATATTGAAGTGTTGCTAAAGTTGTAGTAAGCAGTGAAAGCGTTATTTGTGAGGAAATGCTTTAGAAGTTTGGATGTTAAAGAAAAATGTTAGCCACGACGAAATTTCACGAATGTTACTTAGCTCATTTTAGAACACACCAACTGATTTCAACTTATACGTGATCGAAAATGTCTTAGCCTTCCAACTTTAACTATCCCAGATTGCAATGAACTTTATCGATTGAAATAAAAAACATATTTTGCTTTTCAAAAGGCCAGGAATGGTTTTGTTCCGCTTCTATCTTTTTGCACGAGATTCGTATTTCCAAGAAAGAAGCCTCTGAAGGAAAGAGATTTCTTCTAGCATGACACAATGATACCAAAGAGTGCGTCAGTAATGTGCTCTATTCCTCTTGCATCCAAAAAATCAGTATTTTTCAATGATGTCACTATTTTAAGGTTTTAGCTTCGAAGATGGTTTGAAGTTAAAGTAGTTCCTTAGAAAAAAAACAATTAAAATTTGGGGAGGCAAAATATCCTATCTATTCCAAGTCCTTGCCATTGAAAAGAATAGGCAGTAAATAAAAAGGTTAAGATTGTGATTATAACTATAGCCTCAGCTTAATTGGGTTCAATGCCGATTTAGGCTCCCCAGATCAATCCTGTTGACAGGTGATTGCTGATGTGACAAAAGATTGATAGAATTAGATGAGAGACAGGCGAAACGAACGACCCGCATAGTGTGGCGGTGAACGCGCTACTCCCCGGAAAGGACAGTAGAGCGTTCGTTCCCCACCGCAGACACCTGCGGTCCGGAGTTTTGCAAATATCTCAGCATTATAGTAGTTATATTTCGCAGAATACCCTGCCATTAAAAAGAATAGGCAGTAAATAAAAAAAGTTAAGATTATCCTATCTATTCCAAGTCCGTTGATACCCAAGCTCCAAAATTATCAGAAATTTATCAATAGTCGCCAAGAAATTAGTATCGTCGGTGAATTTTTTTGTATATTTTACATTAAACAAGAACTTGGATAAGCGTGTGCAGCGCAGTGACTAGAGATTTTCTTCGATATACATAGCCTCTTTAGTAACTCCCAAGTCCGACTTTCTATTAACCTCGGCATTGACTGAATATATCTTTCTACTTCTGTTCAGGAAACACGAGGTGCTATTTTATTTCTTTATTTACGCACAAGCTGACGTTTCGGCGGATTTCGCCTTCCTCAGAGCCCACTATTCTCCTCCAGAGGCGGTCCTCCAAATACTGAGCACAATAGTTTTCTTTCTTCTCGCACTTCTTCCACTTAGCGAACATCTGGTTTTGTTTGCTTCGTAGACAGGTGCGCAGTACTTGCAATTCGATGTCCAGTACTCGGTGGTCATCCTCTGGCAGTCCGCATACTTCGTGTAGTCGTTTTCTTTTTATGAATTTCGGAACGACTTGGTGTTTTATGCAGCGGCGGAGAAAGTGTATCGTCTTTCGAGCTAAGCTGATCTTTTATCTCGACGATCTCGACGATCAACGACGTAAATAAAGAAATAAAATAGCACCTCGTGTTTGCTGAAGTAGAAAGATATAGCGTCTTTAGTTTCATCCATTGCCCTCAACGAACCTAACCCCGGGATCGGCATGGTGCCAAGCGTGTATACTGGTTGGCCACCGCAAGTCATCGTATAGGCCAAATATGCATTTAATCATCATCTCATCATCTTCACTATACCTGAAGAACTCTAATGCACAGCGCATCCCAAAGGAATTTGTCAACACTGAAAGCCTTATCACTAGTGTCTTAAGAAATTAAAGTTGTAAACAAGATTATACTTCGTAGGATCGGTCAGGTTTTGAGCCCACTGTTTACCACTATTTCGCTTTTTAGATCTTACTCTCGACTTTATTTTTAATCGGTACAAATTTATTAGATGTTTCCATCATCTCCATCTGCGCTTTATTTCTTCCGCGCAATAGGAGATTTCGCTAAATTGAGCCGGAGCTCCTTAAACGCCTACACACTTGCAATTAGTTCCACATTAAGTGCTGAGAATGGTTTTAAACGTAATGTACTACTAAGAATGTTAACGAGATGAGACAATATAAAGGATATAATGAAGAGTGTGATAACTGGACAAATCCAAGGAAGCAAAAATGAACGAAGATGCCGTGCACTTGCTTAAGCTATTGACATGACAATTCTTTTTTAGTGTTAGTATTACAAAAAACGATGGCACTAAAGGGTTTTGTTTTTAAAGAATTGGAAAACTAGTGTCAAGAACTGCAAAAATTTGACACTTCCCTTTCATTACTGACGCAGCAGAGCACTTCCCTTTCATTACTGACGCAGCAGAGCTACCCCTTAATTGGAAGAGCGTTTTCCAGAAGTTTTCACCATTTGCCTTTGGAAAATCGACGTATGTTCCTTGGTTTGTTTGATGTTCTCTTAAGAATAATAAAATATAGGCTTAAAAGGCAGGCTTTTATGTCTCATTACTTACTGCGAAACCAACAGTGAATCGATGGATGGGCACATGAGCACACTGTGTATGGTTGTGCTCATTTCATTTTCGCTCGGGCTAGACTCAGTTGCTAACGAGGTCCATATCTACACAGGCATAGAAAATTTAAGCCGTCTACTTCATACAGCTAGTGTACTTATTTCTCATACTTTCTGGAAGCTCAGGGTCAAAACATAATGCCTAGTGAGATAACATCAGTGATAGTAACATAGTACTACGAACACTGTAGTGTGAGGTTCTCTGCAATAAAAACATGATCCTTAAGCTCGATCGTTCGCTTTGGCAAATCATGCTCTTCATTTCGACAGAGTCGGATTTCTTTTAATACCACACTTGTACTCACCGACAGAACACCTTGATGTCTCCATTCCTCGATAAGTCGTTAAGCCACCGCAAATCAACAGGTAGGTCGGATCTGCAGCCGCCCACTATGCTTAACGAAGTTGAATACCTCTTGAATCGCTATGTGATTAATATTCATCGACCGATTTACTTTCTTCGCTTTTAATGGAATTCTCGTATATCAATACTCACGTAATTTGTAACCTCTAGTACCTCTTCCATTCATCTCGTTTCTTGTGTTGCAACTACCCTTCGAAGATGTTCATGTTCTCTTGTGACCCGAGAATACGCCATCTTCTTGCCACATCAGTATATTAAATCCTCTCCAGCTTGGTAGCTTCGAGATAGCTTACTACGGCATTCCCAGGTTTTCATCACAGAAGTCACTTGCCGTTACGGGAGGCTTACCACCATACTATTAGTATTCATTCTTCACGACAGCGTTACGATTTTCAATCGATCATTAGAATTCTACTAAGAGATCGAACCGGTAATAAAATTATGGAAATAAATAAACAGTACCTTCTTGAGTGCTTAAGTACTCTCTGACTTCGGACAGGATTTATTTCGCTGGTATGCCGAGACAACCGGATTGTGATTTCTCCGAATACGTAATTAAAGTAGTGATAATAGCTTTATTTTTCACTTTTTATTTTATACAACCCGTCGCACACATTTGCTGTTCGGATTCCAGCACTTGTCACTTTCTATTCGTTTACTCGCATCCGTCGTCCACCAAAGTCCTCCAACTTTTTACGTGTTGCTTCGGCTGCCTCCATAGCATTTGCCTTTCATCTGAATGCTGGTTGAGCCAATTTTTCCTGGAGCTCTAAGATAACCAAGCTAGAGTGTTCCCACTTTGGTTGCAGAGCGTAAATTTTTACAAGACAATTTTTGGTATCAGTTTCCCGACCCCAAAAGGGTGGAAAGCTAGGTGAGCTCGGAACGAAATCAAACCAGCATCATGCTTGTGATGATCGGCATCACTACCACTGTGTGTGCTTTTAGTGGCAATAGCAATAATAACAATAATAATAACAATAGTAATAGTGAAGGAAACTGAAATTTCCCGTAATATTTCACGAACGTTTTTCATTAACGTAGGTCAAACCAAGACGGATGAGACCATAGAAGGGGTTGCTTGCACCTGTTGGTTCACGGAAAGTCTTTTTTAAAAAGTCCATTAACCGATGATTCAACTAAAAATTAGTTGCCGTTTCCGTCTTAAATTCTATGGTTATTGTATGGAATGTATTGAGTACAAAAATACTAAAATAGACTTAACATAAGCTACAAAACCCTTCCAGATACGGTTAACAATACATTAGAAATATAGACCGTAATAACACATGGTAAATAGTATCATGCATGAAGGATAAAAACTAAAGCTGTCGGCGTTGATTAATCCCTGAAGGATGCGCCTTGCATTCGACCTCATTAAGTATCGTTGGAGGTGATTGAATGCATATCTGGCCTTTACAATGACTCGCGGTGGCTTACCGATGTATCAAGCCATTGCTGCCATCGTCCTAGATAAGTCTGGTACCAATTTGCAACCTCGGAGTGATGGAAGGTTTGGTGGGCCATGAACGTGGGGGTCGATTCCACGTGTGTGTCGCAGTGGCGCCTCCAACCACTGCGCCACACGCACTCTTCATCATGCATGTCATTCATAATTAGAAAACTATAGGGCAAAGTTTCTTCTATAATATTTACAAGTCTTAGAACCCTCTACTTATTGGAAAAATATTTTTATCTTCCAAAAGCCAGAAATCTGCAGCCGACGGGAAATTGCTGGTACTCCATCGAGCCATCCACGCTCAACGCCGAGTGGTCGTTCTGGGTTAATGACGTGGAAGTGCTGAAAACTGCAGCGAATTGCATTGCATTCTATCAAATTGCTAATGAAATTCAACTTTTCGAATCGTGGGGACGACTGGGAGATACGACAAAAGTGGAGATGTTCTACGTCAGTTGTTTTTGTCGTGTTAAAAGTGAAACAACTGAACTAGCAATAATGTTGTCAAGAAGAAGCAGGACATATAACGGAGAGAAACTTAATTTATGTCAGCAAGAAGAAACAATTCAAACTTGAAACACCTGGTCCGTTCTGACCATCTGAGAGAAAACAATTAAGAAATGGAAAATACAACTCGTATTTCTCCGAAAAGAGCTTCATCCTAATGCTAATCAAATATCTGAAACAAAGATGCTTCTATGTAACTTCGTCTCACGTCACACTTTTTTTCTATACTTAGTTCTATTTCTTTCATCGAATTTCACCGTTTTTAGTTATTATTCATTTCGAAAGTTGGTACTATACAGTTCAGAGCGCAGAGTATAGTATCAGGCCAAGATACGAACCATTTCATTTTTCTTCATTACAGGAGAAACCGCATTCACAACAACGTGGTGAACTGTCCCTGTTAATTTCTCGAAACTAGGAAGCGTGGCGTAATATATTTAGAGAAATTAGTTATATTTTCTCCCTAATTTTACAAGGCGCGAGAAATTGCGCGAAGTACAGCACTTCTTGCATTGCATTCGATTCGTTTCCTCGCATCCATCGTCCATGAACGTCATCGTGCTTGCATATGGATCCCTGCTGCTTTTGGATCTGAATTCTTCATGGACGTCATCGAATAGTGGTTTGATCGGTTATCATAGAATACTGGCATGACCGTGCTAGGACGTTTCCTGGTATTCAACACAGGCCACAAGTCACAAGCCTTTATGGGTCGACTGAAACCTTTCATACAAGTCTGGTATCAATTTCGCGAACCCTGAGAGATAACGACCGTGAATGACCCGAAATAGGGTCTAGCCATGGCCTTTTACTCATTATTGAACGGCATCTCTACCGTTGCGCAAACCGCGCCTCTCTAGCTATTATTTGTTCATAGATTGCAAACACCAAGATATCGTCAAAGTCATTCTGTTGTTTCACTATTTTTAGGAATAGTGGAACGCAAAACTGAAGACAAGTGGAAATGGCTTGATGAACAAGGCCAACTCTTGGATGAAAAAAATCAGCGAACGTGGAAAGTGCGATGTTTTCCCTTGTTTCAAAAGGCCACGGTATAATAATATTCAGCGAGGTTTCTCATAGGATTTAACTACATTTTCTTAACAACAGCCTTGAATACAGCAGTATTTTCTCCTTGTTGAATGCACTGTTTCGGAAAACAATAAGGTAAAGAAAAACAAAAGCGATCCAACTGCTAATAGCCCTCAATAATCCTCTTAACCCATCCACCCACTTTTGTAGTGTTTAATTCGTTTGACGACAACTGCATTCCTATGAGTACATGCATACGAATTATTGTTTTAATCAGAGTGAATGAATGAAATGAAATTATTCATCAATTTCATGGCGAACTGGACACCGTCCTTCGTGATGGACCTGGCGAAGCGAAGCATTGGAGCCGAACTGTCGAGTGTCTACCTTCAGGTGAATACTGTAAAAGTAATAATTACAGTAGTCACAGCATCGAAAAGATACCGCACAAGACATACAGTGTTGATTTCGGTCTCATATCGATAAGACGTCATGATCATACCTTATCGACAAATTCGCTGGGGCCATGAAAATGAGTATGACATTTATACCAGTTAGTAAAGAAAAGTTGGCTGAACAGCGAATTTGCCATCGACCTAACAGCTTAAAGGCATTAATGACATGGAAGAGTAAGAATGGTTTGATCTCGATAACCCTCGCACTCACCTTTGTGTTCTGCAAACTAAAAGTTGTAGTTTTGACGAATTCATAACTAGAATGCGAACATCGTCGTCCCTTTCCAAATGAGATTCCATTTATGCCATGAACTTCGTTCATTGACTAATTGAAATTTCAAGATCAATACCTACATATTTTACATATTTTAGATACCTACACTGAAACTGTTTAACATGAATGCTTTCAGGGGACACACTTTTCCAAGACGTTAGCAGGCAATACAACAACAACTATGTAGTTGAGGTGAGTTACGGTAGAAAAAGATCTAACATTTTTTTGGCACACTCTTCTTCGGTATCTCTTATATAACCATTTTCAGAGCATCGTCCGTAATTACTGATGCATTGATTTGTTTTTGTTTCTCGGTGATAAAGTGAAACCCTGGCTAATAAATATTTTCTTCTGTAATTTGTGCCTGAACGCTTCACTTAGTTGACAACAGTTCCTTATATTCTACGCTCACATTCTGGACATTGTAGTTGGTGGAAAAATTTCCTCCATATTTTGAGTGGGTAGGGAAAGTACAATGAGTGGAGATTCCATGCAATACACACACTATATCCTTTAATTCGACCTCACCAATTAGGATCGCTATTCTGAATCGGCAAATTTTCACCTCACTTTTCTGGGAAGATCTCACTCCGGTCCACAAATGCGAACACGTAGCCCGCGATGAAGATCTGTGAACACTGTACTAAACCTATCCCAGCATTCCTGGAATAGTCCGTTCCAGTAGCATTCAATAATATTCGTGAGACGTACAAAATGCTCAACTGGCAGCCCAAGCTGTCAGCAAATCCGCCGGCCTTCGTATAAGGCAGATGCAGGGCAACGAATCGAATAAAGTAAGTGTTGTGATCTGTATACATGCGAAGAAGGAACATGCTTGATACTTGGTACTTGAATGGCCAGTCCTCAGTGGTTCTGCGGGCCCCAGCACAATCTCTATTTTTTGGAGATTTGCTGGTTAAGTCATTATGGTTCCCTGGAGTACCGAGGTCAGACTGGTCAAAGTCTGCCCCAGGTCTTCACCACCACAGGCTGTCATAGCCTTTGTGGATCGGAGGGAAATTTGCCACCATGCGACTTTGATACCAGGACGGTGGTGGATCCTGACATTGCTTTACTCTTAGCTAGGCTTCCTGAAAAAAACACTGGACTCCGTTCAGTTTGGGAACCCTGCCAGGGGACGACCCGCTGTACATCGCAGTCTGGCACCCAGGAACACCTAGCCACGATGAGGCGATAAACCGTTGGGAGGAAGGAAGGAACATATAATTAAATAAATAAGGACTTTATCACAACAAATCAACCTGAGTATAAATTCTGACGATTTGATTACCATGAGGTTATATGAGAGAACTTGGGACGGTTACTCAACATAGAACGACTCCGAGTGAGGGATAGTGATTAAATTCAGAACAACAACGACCATTTGCATTGAAGCGCAGGATACGTAAGCTTTTTCTGTTGCATCAGTTTCATCAGTGTTACATCTTCCGTGTACCCAAATTTCTAGGCACAAATCCTGAAATCAACTAGGAGAGAAGTATAGAACATGTTAGTGAATGCCCCTCTATACAGCATCATATATATTTCAAGAATCCAGTTAAGAACCGAGGAAATTCATTTGCGCCGGCGTCCATCGCATATGACGCACGTATTCCGAGGAAAACTGGTCGGTGGTCATCTTATATGACTCTTCTCCCTTACTGTACTTTTTTCAATTATTTGTTAACTTACACAACACATGCATTGTTACACGCGCTACCAAAATGGGACTCTATTTTGCATTTAGGAAAACAGTAAGATCTTTTTTGGACCAATTTAGCTCCTTTTTTGGCAAAATAAACTTGTACATAGACTAAGTATAAGAAATGTACTTTATACATCTTACAAAAGCTTACCGAATGCTGATAACAATGTGACATAACAATGTAACTGTCTGATGGAAAGGTTTTCCTTCTCGTCATATGCAAAAGGTGGATTAGTTCCAAAAGCTTGGAGTGATGCGCAGAATAACATAGTGGAGACGTAGAATATGAAAAACACACTGATCAAGGATAGGGTACACAAAAAACCGAATCATAAAGCGAAAGGAGCAACAAAAACGGCAGGGTTATCTGCTGCGATGGCACTTCAGCCAGATGGCACTTTAGCCAAGATTCACCACATATGAATCAACTCGTGAGAGCGAAAATTAAGTGTGTACCACGCCTCCTTCTATTGAACATGTGGACGAGGTATCCGAGGGCATCAATTCTCCGAATGTAAATGAAGTATCTCGTACGAGAAGGATGATGTCTTCAGTTCAAATGGTCCGGAAAGTACCACACTCAAATAAGATGGTTGGTAATGGGACAGCGACTGGCACGAAGTCTTGTCAATGCGCTTATGCCTAAGGTGGAAGCAACACTGACCTAACTCGGGCCGTTACTCTACTGTAGATATGTAGATGACTGCTTTGTCCTTTGCTCAACACAAGAGGAAATGGGCAAATGTTTCGAGTTGTTGAATGAACAGTCAGAGTATATCAAGTTCACCTGAGAGAAACCGAAAAAAAACTGACTTCCATTCCTGAACGTCCAAATTAACCTGTCAGAAAATTGCTACATTACGAAGCCGTACCGAAAGCCAAATAGTAAAAACATCTTGGTTTATTACCTCTCATCTCACCCCTCTCACGCGAAAAGGGCGTTTGTAAGAAACATGTTTCGAACAGCAACCAACGTGTGCACGGGAAGAGAGCAGAGAGAGGAGTCCCGGAACTTGGCACGGTAAATAGCCATTTCTAATGGCTACGAAACTATAGCTCGGGATAGGTGCAGGGAAAAACCTAGGCCCCCAAACGACAACTCTAGCAATAAAAAGGTCCCGTTTATCCTACCCTTCATCTCAAATGATGTAAGTGTAGTTATAAAACACTGCTTAAGAAGGGCGGTTTTAGAGAATTCGGTAAGCGTAGTTGAAATACCACCGAGTAATCTTAAGCGCCAGCTTGTTCGTAACCGCCTATATGACCGTCTATGTGCAACGCAAAGTTGCATAATATTCCCTAATGGTAGAGACGGTGTTTGCATGAGCTCCGGTAGAGCTTACCTGATCTCCTGTAAGGCGTGCGGGAGACGAATACATTGGCGAAACGGGCAGACCACTCTGTGTTCGCATAAAAGAACACCTAGTCGCAAACGTAAAGCATATACCCCGCTGGGCACACATAGGACCCAGAGACATAACGGTGAGGACTTTGAAATACGTGTCACGATCCTCGCACAGGAATCGAGAACACATGCGCGCACGCGAAACTCTCGAGACGTTCTGGATCAATTCCAGAAACCCGAAAATGAACCGCAGCGAAGAATGCCTCATTAACACGCGTGGTATTGGACAGTATATAAACCTGTTATTCTGATGGGAGAGGCACATTACGCTCCCATGTGAATTCTGTGCGGTCGGTCTCCACGCGACATACTCAGTGAAAGACTAATAAAAAGCGGTGAGTGTGCAAAGCTGTGTTCAATGTGATTGAATTCATGGTTTAGCGTTTTCTCTGTTTGGTTATGGAGGTGTTTGGCTGAATAGATAGCTATCAACTTGACCTTTTCAGGCTCTGAGGAAGGCGGAATCCACCGAAACGTCAATTTGTTCGTGAATAAAGAATAATAACACCTGGCGTTTGCCCAACGAGAATACGAAAGATGTATTTAGTATTTCAGTAATTGTTTATAGTTTTCTTTCAAAGCACCAAATCAAAGTTCTTATCTCTGTGAGAAGCGCGGTATCAATTTTAACAACGTGGAAGAATAGGAGTTTTCGTTGATCTTCGACTCGGGATCGGAACAAACACTTTTCTCGCGCTGACTCATTTTTGGAAATCTGAACCGCTACAAAGTGTAGCGAAAAAAAGCATTCCCTGCGCTCCAGAAAATCAGAAAGGCTGTGCACGCGGCATATGTATTACTCATATAGTTACGATTGTGTTCACGATTTAACGACCAAAACAGCTTTTGTTTTTGTGGTAGTGGCGGAGAAGTAATGGCCAGAGTAAATAATGAGGCGGGTAGCGCAGTGCTAGTGGTGCCATGCTGATCATGACGAGTAGGGCGCTGTTCCAGAACCTTCCTGCCCTTCCTTCCTCCTCCTGACATCACCAAGTATCTCATGCCCCTGGGATCGGAAAATCGGCACCAGACTTGTCTGGGCTCAGCTTACTCTTTCAAGTCCACGAAGGAACACTTTAGCACGGCCACTCGTGGATTCGAGAGAGAATTGACTCGACCTGTATTTGACGACATTGGTAAGGAAGACAACAAATCCTCAAGCGGCAACCAAATCCACATTTACAATTCAAAGACCTTCGTAGATGATGTATGAGTAAATTGATGCGAGGAAACAAATCGAATTTATGAGGTTTGGAATCTCAAACAGACATCAAGAGGGGTCATGTAGAAAAAATATTGGTTCAATGCAGAACGTTGTTTAGTCTGTATAGCATTTATTCACGTTGATTAATTTTAAGTGTACTTAGTGGAACATGTAGCCCCGGTTTTGTTCCGTCATCTTTCCAGTAACTGCATTATCCCCGGATCGGTAGAACTGGGCATTCTGAGCAAGGAATTAACTCGGATGGGACTTCAAAGTGAAATTCATGTCATTTAAATTATTCTACAGAGATCTGAATAAGCGACAGTCGGTGGATACAATGTAAGCAAGGCGGACGAATCAAAACGCCTCAGCCACATCTAGAAGTTTGCGCTGTCACCTGAAATACCTGTCCATGTGGCGTTTCCGTAATGTGATACTCGTAAATCAACGTTAGTAACTTTTACGAACTGCCGCAATTGCCACAAAACGGCTGTTTGATCAAAATCGAATAATCTTGTGGTTGAACAAATTGTTTGACGTTGGTTGCCTTTAAGCATGGCAAGGATTTACTCGCTCTCTCTCTCTCTTGGGCGGCCTTCCATAACTGCGCTAATTGCAGAGGCCATTGTTTCCTTCGCGATGTCGTTTTAGTCAGTAGCGACTACTTACGGCACAAGTATAATAGTCAACGCTTGTGTTGCCTGGTTGAGCACGATGTATCGTAAAATTTCCACTGTTTGCAAAAAATACAACTGAATACGCTGTCCTCTGTTTTATTACAATTCCATTGAAGTAGTATTTCCGTTATGAGTTATAAGTGTCGGGTCTGCGTAGTGAAGCAGTTAAAAGCGCTCTGCGATACACGTGCTCCATGGTCCTGTATCGCACTTCGCGCTAACGGAGCCGTTCATTCCTCATGGCTCGAGAAATTGATCCAGATTTTTCTCAAAGTATGAAACACGGACTCTGTTCATGGGTGGCCCTCGTATAAACCAGATATGCACTCAAACATTTCCACGATGCTCCGAAGATAGTCGAATTAACGGCGCATTCCCAAATTATTGATCAATGCCAAACGATTTATCCTCCATCTTTTTTCTAAGGTTTCCTCGAAGTACACATATTATACACTTGAAAGTGGTAACAAGTCGAATTACCAAGTCGCCAAATTATAAATCAAGGACGAACTTTCGCTCAGTCCTTTAATAGACGTTTCTCGAAGAATTTCAGCAGCTTTAAAGTATAACCACAGCGATTTTGAGATATTTGCAAGACTCGGAGCTAAAGCTTTAGGCCAACTTCGAACACCTGACTATCCTTTCTGGAGGATCACATGTTACCCACTGCTTCATGCCGCCCTTTGTTTTGCCTTTTTCTCAGCCATTTTTTTACCCTAATGGTGCCATTAGCAATCACCCGTTAACTGAAATTATCTAGGAGCAAAATTCGGCATTGAACTCAGTTAAGCTGAAGCTGCAGTCGAAATCACAATGTTATTCCCGTTGACAGTAGATTGCTGATAGAATCGTTAGAGTAAGAAACTTGCTGAGAGAAAGGGAAAACGAGAGCCTAGGTGGTGCAGTGCGTAACACGTGAGCCCTGGCTGTCTCCAAGCTTCCATGGGATTCCAAGTTTTCCAAGCATCTCAGCGTCGTTGTGGTTGTATTTTACATAATACCTAAACTTTGCTAGATATTTGGTGGAAATGCAGCTTTTCTGTAGCTCTAGAGCTAAGTAACCATTTGTTTGTTATGGGTAGATTTAAAACGAGTTAAATTCGCGATTATTTTGTCTTATATTTGAAGAGAATGCGGTGGGCGGGAGAGTTCCATTTGCAATGGTGTTTGATTTCATTCTGGTAGCTTTCAGAAGTAGAAAAAGCGACTAAATTAGAGGCGGAACTTCGATAAGAAGCAGAATATACGACAAGGTGTGCTATATCTGTTATCCGACGATTGTTACACACATGTTTGTTAGTTACTTATGAGCTTACATCTTCTTATGATATGGTCAAAGTATCCAAAGCGCCTCCTATACTAATGTCACCTAGTGGTTGATAATGGCTAAGTTCAAGAGAAAGGAACTGTCCATATAAGACCACAAAGGATGCTGAGATATGAGCAAAACTTGGAACCTTCGGTAGGCTTCGTTTGATGTGGTGGATAGCACGCTAGCCTCTGGTAACAGTATTCAAGGATCCGAAACGCAACTGAGATCCCAGGTCTTGGTCGTATTTCGGCATCGTTATGGTTGCGTCTCATCATACCATACCTTGCCGCAAAAAAAGTAGGCAATAAGCAATATATTTATTTATACGATCTTATAAACCGGTCTTTTTGAGCTGATGCAAGGTTGATATTGGGCTTCGTTGTCGTTATTGTTGGTCAATGGCTAACGTTTCGGCGATTTTACCTTCCTCAGAGTCGTCATGTTACGAGTGGGACTCAGAGTCAGCAACGAAAAGAACAACGACAACGAAGTATAACTTCAATGATGCTGAGATATTTGCAAAACTCCGGACAGCAGGTGTCGGCGGTGGAGAACGAACGCGCTATTGTCCTTTCCGCGGAGTAACGCGTTCACCACCACACCATGCGGGCCCTTCGTTTCGGCTGTCTCTCAGCTAGTTCTATCGACCTTTTTCCCATCAGCTATCATCCGTCAACATTCCGCTCGATTCCAACCTCGCATCAGCTTAAGAAGATCAGTTTACAAGAGCATATAAAAAAATATATCAACTATCTATGCCGAGCTTTATAGAAAGTTGGTCTTTTGAGTCAATAAGTAGTAGTTAAAATATTGTGACGTTCACATAGATTCCCATTCTTATGCATTATGCTAGCGATAGGGGAACATCAGCGTCCCCATGTCTCTTACTGTGTGGACATCTGGTATCCAACAGAGACGACGTCGACGTCGACGTCCCGTGATCGTTGAGCTCTTCTTCATTGATGGGGCCGAGTGCCATTCATTTGCGGTGTGCCCTCCCCTTCGCACACAATCATGTGCTGTGCACGTGCAGCCTGTAGGCCTGTCGTGCGCTCACGTGATGAGCGAGATCGCTCGCCCGCCAAGTGTTTGCCATTTCACTCGCTTCTTGTTTTTCTCTGCTATAACTCATTTAGGTTTAGTAATGAGATGTTTAGTTTCATCAGCATAGATATTGGGGATGCTTCGCCTTCCTCTTAGTTTCAGAGCGCTAGCTAAATCTAATGATTTAAAGGAAAACTTCACATTTTGTCTGTTTTGTCTTTTATGTTTAAAATACATGAGAATTTATACTTCTTTGTAAGTGTGAAGTATGTCTGCGCAGGATTACCGTTTACCGGCAAGCCAGGCTAACTTCCTGTGCTAGTCATCTATGGATCCGTTCGATGATGATACGCCCTCATCGGAAAGTCAAACACTTCTAGAAACAAGACCGAGATCCGGTGAGCAGGTAGGAGAGAACGGCTCTTCTTTTACGTTTACCTTTTTCGAAGAAGGTGGGAAACTACTTTTGGAGAACGTCTAAAGGCAAATGGCTTGGTTATCCTTGGTTTTATAGAATGGTTACCAGTTTGACTTTTCTTATATAGCGAAGAGTTTGTTTCCAAATAATCTTTTTTTTTATTCTATAATGTCACAATGATCAGCACTTGTATATCTGATCGCTATGTCAAAGAAAATTCCAATTCTTTTATACTTTTCTGAAAGTTTATGAACACACTCAAACGGGACGTGTAGCCTAGTGCTTAGAGACGACCTGGAACACACTGATGGTCGTAGGTTCAATCTCGCAAGCTGTGTCGAGCACGCCTCTGGCTTCGGAAATTGGTACCAGAGTTGTATGTCAGGAAAAGAACACTAACTTCATACACTGGCGGGGCAGCACAAGTCATTGTACAGGCCACGTATGCATTCACCCACCTCTAACGATGCTTCATGGAGTTGAACGACAGACAAATCCCTCAAAGATTAATCAAAGTCGAGAGGTCTATTCTATAGCCTTTATTATGAAATAGTTTTGTCCAGAAGGTTGCTTCCCTGGCATAGAATAGTGGTAAGTAGTTCAGTGTGACATATGTTTAATTCTATGCGACATTAGTTGCGAAACTTTGGCTTTCTTTTTTAGTTATGCTTACAGAGTTGTATAGAGATTGGTTTCATTTGTGTTCAGGACTTTGGATCTACTACTTATTCAGGAAAACCATGCAAATCTTCGTATTTGCTACTGGTCCGGTGTTCGCTATTAGATGAATCTTTTAAGACTAGTAGTTGTTAATCTATAGTTTCTTATATCAAGAGCTATTTTAACCATGCTATAAAGTCTAAAGATGCGTGTTAAAAAAGCTCTCAGCGTTGATCTATCCCTGAGAAATGCGCCACGCATTTGACTTCATTGAGCATTGTTGGAAGTGATTGAATGCATATCTGCTTTTTACAATGGTTCGCGGTGGCCTACCGATGTGTCAAGCCAGTGCTGCTATACTCCTAGACAAGTTTGATACTAATTTGCCGACTCCGGCGGGATGGAAATCTTGGTGAGCCTTGGACCTGTGGATCGATCCCGTAGTATATCAGAGCGCCTCCGACCACTGCGCTACACGCATTCCCTAAAAATGTATGTTACTGTTGTTAATTCTACCCAAGTCAGCTGTTTTCCTTAATCGTGGTCTAGCCAAGCGAATGTTAACCTTCTGAAACCTATGAAAATGGTTTCGGTCTAGGTATTACTTTTCCACTGAAATAACAAGTGTGTTTTTCTAGGATGCCTTTGGAGACGATGAGGTTATTGTTCTTAAACATGACGACTTGAAAATACATGGAGAACATTCTGAACTACACAGTCCAATGAATAGCGTTCATGTTGGTTTCTGTGATTGTCCTCGATGTAGCCCTAGATCTCTGGCATGGTGATGTCGTCTCATTGTTTTAGGATGTCTTAAGAGAAGCAGCAAATTTTATGACCGATGGACCTCTTCAAGCTTCCTCAAATAAAGATAATCAGCAAGTGCTTGTGGACGAGGTTGATGTCGAATATAGGTAATTAGAATTTCTTTGTTATTTTTCTCCTTGAAATACTGATATCTTTTCGTTCAAGCTCAATTTTTTCCTTCTGAGTTACTGTTTCCTACCAGCGGTTTACCTCCTCATCGTGGCTGGGAAGTGTTGCTTGGTGTGGTGTCGAGCTGCGATGTACAGCTGGGGGGGGGATTCATTCATCCCATCGGCAGAGCTTTCCAAGCTAAGAAGTCCGTCGTTTCCATCAGAAAGTCCAGCGAGATAAGAGTAAACCAATGCCAGCGTCCACCACCGCTCTGGTATAGAACCAGTCGCATGTTGGCAAATTTCCCTCTGAACCACAAGGGCGACTGCCTGGGGTGGTGATGACCTGGAGCAGACTTTGGTCTGGCTGGCATCGTGACTTCAGGGAACCACATTGGCTAAACTAGCAAGAGTCTGAGGAAATGGAAGTTATGCTGGGACCCACACAGCTAGTGGGGACGGGCGCCTCGAAAGATACTGTTTTAGCAGTGTGATTAAGTTGCGCTTTGTTAGTTGCAGTGAAAATAAGAGCATTGTTTAGTCCCAAGAAGTTGCATCAGCCAATCGAAATCGTTGTTCGACATAACAAAGTTGTGGAACAACCAGCTAGTGACAGTGATGACGAGGAAAATGTGGGACAAACATATGGCATGGCTAATCAATCAATGAGATTATCAACCGTTCATGAGGGTGGAAATTTACGTGGCATACTTGTGTGACATTGTAAATATAATCCTATTTGTTATGCATTTGCATTTTTATAGGAAAAGAAAGTGGTCTATCGATACAGCAGAATAGGCCTTGCTCGTCTTCTACGGGTAAGGATGTTAAGTGGAAACGAGGCCACCGTCGTGCATGGAGTATGCCAAATGCAAAAGGAGACAAAATGACTTTGGCTGTGATGCAGGATAAGGAAACAAAGGTATAATCTTTCTAATTTATTCGAGTGATGGGCGAAGCAGAGTTTTATGCGTAATTGTAGTTCTTTTCTTCATGTTTCTCCCTGTTTGGTGAAACCTAATGATATGAATATTAATGATGTACTATTAACTTTTATCTGCCGCTTACTACAGTTTCTTCACTGTAGGGTATTCTGTGAAATGAAACCGCAATGATGCTGAGATATTTGCAAAACCCTGGGCCGCAGGTGTCTGTGGTGGGGAACGAACGCGCTATTACCCTTTTCGGGAACTAACACGTTCAACATCACACCAGGCAGGTCCTTCGTTTCGTTTTTCTTTCAGCTAGTTTTCTATCTACCAGTGCCGTTAAGAAAATTTGACATTGTGATTGCGACTACAGTCTCGGCTTAGTTGGGTTCAATGCCGGTTTGTGCCACCAAGTCAACCCCGTGACGGGTGATTGCTGATGGTACTGGTAGATAGAAAGCTAACTGAAGGAAATACGAAGCGAAGGACCTGCCTGGTGTGATGTTGAACGTGTTAGTTCCCGGAAAGTGTAACAGCACGTTCGTTCCCCACAGCAGACACATGCCGTCCGGAGTTTTGTGAATATCTCAGCATCATTGGAGTTATATTTCGCAACATATACCCTACCATTAAAAAGAGTAGGCAGTAAATAATAAGCTAAAACTGTGATTGTAACTACAGCCTCAGCCTAACTGGGTTCGTTGCCGATTTGGGTTGCTTAGATCAATCTCGTTAACGGGTGATTGCTGATGGCTGTGATCGATAGAACTAGCTGAGAGAAGAGCGAAATGAAGGATACGCACGGTGTGGTGGTGGGCGCGTTACTCCCGGAAAGGGTAGTAGCGTGTTCGATCCCCGCTGCAGGCACCTGGGGTCCGTAGTTTTGCAAATATCTCCGCATCATTATGATTTTATTAATGACATATTGTGATGGAAATGAGCTATATTCTGCAGAAGTTCAGTTTTTTTGAAGCAGTTTCGTATCATGCAACTGTCGAATCAAACTGTAGTGTGTACTGCAAGGTGTCCTTACTATCACATTTAAGCCTTTCAGAATTTCTAAGGTTCCATTTTTAATAAATTAGGCCTTCTTGGAACTTTTCAGCGAAGCATACGGTGTCGGAAAGAGCTCTTAGTTTGTGTTGCTCTTTCTGGCTATTATTTAAGAACCTTATGGACGTAGTTTAAGGCTGATGGGAATACTCACACACGTCGAGTGGTGCGTTATCGTCTGCATCAAGCGAAGAAAGGGCGTTTGAATGCTGGTGGTGGTGAGGGTCATAAAAATACTCTACATCCGTCTGGTTTAAAACTTGATTTGGATGAAATGCCTCACCCAGACGATGATGACCACGAATTGGAGGTTGTCATCTAGCAATCATTTAGCTTTCTTATAGGAGTGCAAGTGATAAATACATGCTTGTTTAGGTCGAAATCAATGAAGAGGAAATTGAGATACCCGGTGAATCTGGTAAAGGTGCTAGGACAATCGTCAAACGAGTTTGTTATTGCTTAAAACTTGATACTGGAACAATATGAAAATTGGGATTTCGGGACGTTTATTTCCAATTTTTAGTTTTGGGAAGCTAGATGGAAAGCTACAAATTTCGAGTATCTTCCTGAGTGGTTACAGGATAATGAGTATCTTAGAACAGGTATGTTTTTTTAAATTTTTATCGCTTTTAAAGTGTCCTGCATTCTCTTTAAAAGAAACATACGATTTATTGTTTACATTCATATTACGATAGTCTGGTATCAGACTTGTCTGAGCTTTGTTCTTATATTTCTTGTAATCTCTCCATAGGGGCACTTGTAGCGCAGTGGTTAAGGGCGTCCAGCAATACACATGGGATCGGTACCTGTGCCTCAGGGCCACCAATTCTTCCATTCTTCCATCTCTCCGGGGTCGGCAAATTGGTACCATAACTGGATGGGAGGATAGTAGCACTGGTTCGATACATCGGTAAGTCACCACGAGTCACTGTAAAGGCCAGATATGCATTCAACCACCTCCATCGATCCTTAGTGAAGCAGAATGCATGGTGCATCTCTCAGGGATAGGTTGACACCGAGAGCTTTATCTTTTTGTCCTCTATTCATTTTATGAGTACCTTCTTGAGTTTTATCTCCTACTCTTTTATCATTCGGTTTTATAGGTCATCGTCCACCACTTCCTTCCTTTAGTAGCTGTTTCAAGAGCATCTTTGCCCTCCACACGGAAACGGGTAACATTTGGACACATATGTATGGTATGTATTGTTTTGATTTGTTACCACATCGGCCACCATGAATTGAAGCACTGGTATGTGCTTATTTTTATAAAACTTTTTGAGAAAAGCCGGTGTGTATAGAGAGGTCATTTGACTAGTTATACCATAGTCCACTCTTAGTTTTGCTGCATGACATCTGGTCAACGTTATTAGGTTGTTGGTTTTACAGGAATCCCATAGTTTCGTTATTGTAGTAATTTTTGAATATATACTCAGATCTTAGATATCAGCGCAGCTGTTTAGTTGACTTGTAACGTGCTGACATCCGTTTTACATAGGGTTGTTGACGCCGTAAGATGAATACCCCATTCCATGAAACTGGTTACAGCGGAAACTATGCACATGGTAGTGCTTGGTTTGTGATAAACTTACTATCCTTCAACTGAGGAAACGCCCGGTATGACCTTATATTTAACCAGATCGAGATCGCTGACATGATCCTTAGGACAGTTATTTCATTGACTATGACTAATTGCCCTGATTATCCATCACATGAGTAGAGTACTCGTGTAGCTGCAATATGAAAGTTAAAGTCAATGATTTTTTGACCAGAATTGCTAAACTGTGAAGATCTTTGGAATTTCTATGCATGCTACTGCGCTCTAGAATATCTGCCATTTTATTCATTTCGGCTTATCAATTTTTATAATAAAACTATGCATGGAGATGAGTCTGCTATTGAAGTACTGAGCCATTTTTCTAATAACTGCTAAACGGTTCTCCATCGTTAGTATTGTTACGTTGTTCGTTAGTTTCAGGCTGTGTCGCATTTATCGGTGTCGCCTTTTGGTTCCTCAGTCGCTCGTCCACACAAATCCAGTTTATGGAGAAACTCATATTCTCAACGTATTTCATTGGAGCCATATTATGCCTCGGCATGTCGTTTATATTTCACACTGTGGCATGTCATTCTGACTCCGTTGGAAAGCTTTTTAGCAAGTAAGTTTATATATATATCTAATGTTATTTTCGACTATCACGGGAATCGTTGCCTTATGTAGAGCACGTTCTAAATCAATTCTATGCTTCTAACTACAGGAGAAGGGCGTGTGAGGCGCAGTGGTCGGAGGTACCCTGCAATACACACAGGATTGATCCCAGCGCCCCGGGCTCACCAAGCCTTCCATCCCTCCGGGGTCGGCAAATCGGTACCAGACCGGTCTAGGAGGACAGTAGCACTGACTTGATAAATTGGCATGCCACCGCGATTCATTGTAAAAGCCAGATATGCACTTGATCACTTCCAACGGTGCTTAATGAAGTCGAATGCATGGTGGATCCTTCCGAAATTGATCAACGCCGAGAGCTTTATCGTTCATCCTTTTTTACATCACAGAAGAAAAAAAGAAATGGAGATATTATAAGGTGAAGAACACTTCGAAGCTACAGGTTGGACTACACTGGAATCACAATGCTGATTGTTGGTTCGTTCATCCCTTGGCTTTACTATGCGTTCTACTGTCGTCCACAGCCGATGATCATCTATATCACGATGATCAGCGTTTTGGGTGTACTCGCAATGATTGTTTCGTTGTGGGACAAATTTGCGCAGCCAAAATATAGGTATGTTTTCACAACTTGCTTGAACGGTTTCTTCATTATTACTATTTTTCTTGCCTTTTTCGTTTTGTGATTGTGTCGTTTCTAGGGCTTTGCGTGCGGGAATCTTTGTTGCCATGGGACTTTCAGCACTTTTTCCTGCTGCACATTTAGTGTTTGTGGATGGAGTAGAGTTTATTTATAAAAAGGTCCTCGTTATTCCAATAGAGAAGTATTTAAGTCGCATATGTATAAAATGGAAAATATATGGAGCCTTAATATGTCAAGGCGGTGTAAATGGAATGGCGTCAAGTTCTTTTCTAAGTTCAAGTTCGAATGCTCACATTTCGAACTTTGAAGCAAATGATCAAGCGGGATTTCGTCTAGGAGGACATGTTGGTCTTCTGCAATGCTTCGCATGTGTTTGGCTCTGCCGATCTTCCCTTGAACATTTTGAGAAATTGGATTCCTTTACCACTTTTCGAAAGTTTTTACACTAGTTATACTTAAATATAAAACTATGTTGACTAAGAACTACACATAAGACTAATGCGATATAGGAAAATTTGTCCCGCAAATCTATAAAGTTCTGAACTCGAGTGAATTACCGTTAATGGTGGCCTTGGGCTATTTTTCTTGGATTTCGCGGCTTTAGTCACCATACGTAAAGAGAAAACGGCAATTCTTTTTGCACGGATTTAATATTTGTTATGTACATTATGTACGTTCAGGCATCCTTGATATGGATGTTGTCCATGGGAGCAATGTACATAGGTGGTGCAACAATTTATGCCACAAGAATTCCAGAGCGGTGGTTTCCTGGAAGATGTGATCTATGGGTTAGAAATTTTAGTAAGATTCTTCTTATATAATGTCATCTGTTTACTTGCTGGCTACCACAATTTTCACGGCAGGGTATTATGTACGACACAACCACAACGGTGCTGAGACATTTGCAAAGCTCCGGACCGCAGGTGTCTGCGGCGGGGAATTAACGCGCTATTACCCTTAGCGTGAGCTAAACGGTGCCAGCTTAACTGGATTCATTGCCGATTTGTGCTCCTCAGATCAACCCCGTTGGCAGATGATTGCTGATGGCACTAGTAGACAGAAAACTATCTGAGAGAAAGACGAAACGAAGAGCACGCATGGTGTGGTGGTGAATTCATTAGCTCCCAGAAAGGGTAATAACGCGTTCGTTCCCCTCCGCAGACACCTTTGGTCCGAAGTTTTGCAAATATCTCGGCACCATTGTGGTTGTATCGTCTTGCATATTTTTTTGGCAATTTATCGGTGTTGGCATATTTATGAGCTGTTTTCCAGTTTCAATCTCATCAATTGTTCCATACATTCGTTGTCATTGCGGCTTTCATCCACTTCCACTCTATTACGGAAATGGCCCAAAAAAAGTTAATGGAGGGTTCGTGCGCTGAACAACTATTAGAAAGGTATTTTTGCATTAGTTCCTTTTTTCCTTCTTTGAGCAAGTGGTCCCTAGTATTCTCTGTTGGGATATCGAATCATCTATGTGAAATTTGTTCCCCTCATATCATGTAATTTGTCCTAGATATGGAACAGAATCTTATCCGTCTGTACTTGGTGGGCTGTTAGGACCAGACGAGGACCCAAATACCATTTCTTGGAGCGCTAGTATTACATCGTAGGGTGGCTGTCAAAATCTTGCTTAATAGTCAGTTATGAAGCTTATGAAGCGTCTCCGGTTCCGTGAAATACCTCAGCAGCTCGAGTTAGTGTTTCCTCGTATTTGGTTGTCTCCTTTGATTTTTTCTGTGATAGACGCCTGTCTTTTGATTAGAAAATAGATTTTGATGAGCTGAATTCTCTTATATGTTTTAAACTCTATGTTTAGGTTTAGTTATAGCGAGTTCGTTGTTTTCATTAGACATAATACTGAATTATGGATCCTATATTATTATTATTATGTGGACTTAGTTACACAAGTTAGGACCACAGAAATGATAATAGTTTCTCCATCTGATGTGCGTTGGCCAAGTATGTGATCTGTTGTTCCAGTTAAGGTAACAGTTCGTTGCTTCGATAGTCTTTACGGTATTTGACAACTCGGTGTACATTTTAGTGAAACAATAAATCATAGAAATGATGGAACTTAAATTGCCATCAACGACAGAATTACTTTGATCAGGGTTGCTGGTAGCAACTGTAGATGTTGAATGTTGAACTGACTGTGTTGATCCTTCGAAAATATCTCTCTCTGATAATTTTCTCTGAAGCGGCTTTGTCATTTTTCAGTCACGGCTTTTCTGCCCTTGTTTTACGATATATCGTGGTGGAAACTGATGTGGTAAGGAGACATAAACTTAGTCAATTTTCGAAGTAGAAGAGTGGACACGTTCTACAGGAAATATTTTGATTTATTCATTTTAAATTAAGAGATTTCAAGCACGCAAAATTTCCTACCCACATTTTCCAATTATGGATCCTTTGCCGGTTAATTAGAAGACGTGGCGCATCCCTAGATAGCGGATAAGTGGTTAATCACGGAGCAAAAGCGATCTTTGCTTCCTTGAGACGCAGGTCTATCCAGAGAATCGACTTCCTGTTTCTGCTGCTCCGATTTGGCACATTCCTTCTGTATTTATGAAAACACATTCATGCGTGGGTGGTTATGTTTAGTTTATGCGGATTGTATCCTAGGAGTCAATTCAACCAAAATCCAGCAATCAGATGACCGGGAAGCATACGGGAAGCGTTTAGGAGTCCCCTCAAATAAATAAGTTCCTAGTTTACTCTGGGACAAACTGCTAAGCCATGAGTTCATCTGGCGTCCACATTCACAGCTCGGCAAGCAATAAGTGGGTGTCAAATGCTTAGCAAAGTTTGAAAAAAATGGGCCTCATTCCCCTGATCCCGAGAGCTGCCAAGCTGGTAGCGGTGGGTAGGACAAGTACGGAGAGGCAGCTAAAATTTCAGGACCGTTCTAAGCTGCCTGGATAGCAAAGGACTAAGATACCTACAATGCACGCACACTTGCATCTAAATCCTCGATAAAAGACTTGATCATGCAAGCAAAAATGATAAGGTACGATGTCACCGGACAAGCCGACACGACAAGACATCACCCACTCTGCCTTCTATGGCAATGAAGAAGAACTGTACTTCGGAACATACGACAATAAAGGTGTCGAGGGTTTCGGCGTTCTCTCTTGCACGAGTTTAGCCATGAATATTGATTCATTCGAACAAATAACAACCAGAATCGGACGTTTACAGTTCAAGAGATGTGGATCGGTTCCATCTTTGACAGTCTTCGTCATCTACGCACCGACATTAGGCTATGACGAAGTCGCTTCTACGTGAACTTGAAGAAGTACTACAGGGAATACCATACATCTTTTAAGGCCATCATTGGAGATTTTAACGCTAAAGTTAGACGCAGAAGAACGTCGTAGTTCTTGTTCATTTGTTCTTTCTCTTGGAATCGTTATGGTGAATGATAGTTATCGTATGGAATGGATAAGTATGGACAATATAAAAAGTGCCAAATTGTGTTCTACATATATTGTGGAACCGAATACCAAATGACGAAAGCGCATGTGGCTTACTGGTGGATGAGCTTTCCTTGTCACACATGAGAGATGGGTATGATCCAGGAACTATGGAATAATATGTAGAATGTAGAGGATGTAGTAAAAGAAGAATTTGGAAAGGAAACAAAAGAAAACGAGAACATATTTCATTTATTTACTATTCATTTTATTTTATAACACGTCTTAACGTCTGCTGTCCAGATCCCAGCACTTCTCACATATGATTCGTTTCCTCGCATCCATTGTCCACGAAGATTTTCCAACTTTTACGTGAGGCTTCGGTTGTTGGTTGAGAATTTTCATTTCATCGTGAATAACGTAGAATGCTGATCGAGCAATTCTCCCTGGCGTCTTGGGATGGCCGGACTGGAGCATTCCCACTTGGTTTGCAGAGACTGAGCTTTTGCCAATTCCCTGACCGCGGAGGGAAGAGAGGCTCGATTGGCCAGAAACGGAATCGAACTACCACTATATTCGTGAAGACGGACACCACTACCACTGTGCTATCCGCCTCTCTAGCACATTTCGTAGGATGGAAGAATACACAAGGACACTAAAATACAGAGTGCAGGAAAGCGTTTACGAGTTCTGTCTTATCGTTGTAAGGTAGAACACATATTCATTATCCGAAGGAATTTGTGGATAGAACGCAATAGTGTTGACGAATCTCAGCTAAATAAACCGACTTTATGGATTTTCCTCACCATGTTTTACCTTTTTTACTTTTCGATTTTCCTTTAACATTATCTTTACTTACTTTAAGTGGCCACAGCCTTTCTATAAATGGTTGGATTATATTTATACAACGTCATTTTACCTCGCTATTAGCAATGGTAATGGCTAGGTAGTATTATCATAACTACATGAATAAGCAGCCAGATAACGAGAGATGCTCGGAGAAGCGAACATTGGCAACCTTCCAGAACTGCGAGTAAATTTTTATTTACTAACAGTTTGAATGAATAGTATACAGTAAAAAGATTAAATCCGTAATGAAGAGCTGGACGACCTCACAATGTTTCTGTGATGTCAAGGAACGGATATCGAATGTGTACCAGAGGCTTTACGATACCTCGTAAATATCTGAGCAATGAGGTATTCAACTGACTTACTCGTCGTCAGGAGTAGCGCGAACCGTTTTCATTCGTTTAGTTCATTCATCTCCCTACCTCCAGCGGTATACCGCCTAATCATGGATAGGCAGTGTTCCTGGGTGTTGGTCTGCGATACACAGCGTGAGTCCATTTCCCGTCACGGCCTTCCGAGGGATGTCCTGAGTAAACGAATACCAGAAATCACCACGGTCTTGGTATTAAACTTATCGCATGATGACGAATCTCGCTCCGATCCATAAGGGCAGCGACTAGCTAGGTTGGAGACGACCTAAAGTTTCAGCCAGGTTGAGCTCAGGATTTCGGGGAACTCCAATGCCTAAACCGGCCAATATCCGACCATATGTAAATTATTCTGGGGCCCGCACAACCTGTGCAGAAGGTACGTCCAACTATCCAAGTAACTTAGTTCATCCGTAGATGCGAATAAAACTTTTATTACTACTATCTTAACTCTTTTATTTACTGCCTTTTTCTTCTTAATGGTAGGGTATGTTGCGAAATATAACTTGTATGAAATGCTGAGATATTTGCAAAACTCCGGACCACAGGTGTATGCAATGGAGAACGAACACGCGCTGTTGTCCTTACCAAGGAGCAGCGCACTTCACCACTACACCATCCGGGTCCTTCGCTCTGCATGTCTATCAGCTAGTTCTATCGATCTTTTTGCCATCAGCAATCACCCGTCAACGGGATTTTATTATTACTGTTTTTTAGAGAGTTTTATTATTACTGTATTTTAGAGACATAGAACTATCTTCTTTCATGTTATCTACAAAAAGTATGGCTTTCGTAAGCAAGGAGTCGCCCACTTTGATTTTCTTCCACACTGGCAACATCACTTGTCCTGAGGTGGATTTTCTTATTTACTCCGAGTGTAACACTTCTTCATGCTTCGCTAAGTTCGTCGAGTGTTGTCTCTGCTTTACTTCTACTCGAAAAGGTGGCAATGTTGTCAACAAAACGAAGGTTTGATAAAAACTTGTCGTCGCTATGTATGCGCAATTTATTCCGATCGAGTAACTTCATTATGGAGTAACCGCGGCATAGTGGTGAACAACCTTAACGGAAAGGTCCCCTTACTCACAATTCCTTTGAAGATGGTAAGGCGACCATAGAAGAGCAGTATTATCGTGCTACAATTGTGGTAGAAGTTCCAGTAGGAAAAGAGATTGATTCTGATACCACCATCTTCAGTCACGATACAGAGTGAATGATGGAAAGCTTCTACTCCAATCCTTTCTGTATCACGAACTCCATTGCAGACAACGGAACACCCACTGGAGAAGAACAACGGAATATCTTTCTGAATTCATATTGACTGTATTGCTATTTGACATTTTATATAACACCGACAACTGCTGAATGGATTGTCTGTCTGAATTCAAATCATTCATTGCGTAATCAGCAACAACCGTGGTGTATAAAGGAGGAGGCACTGCCGAGTGAGATGCTCTTTCGAGCAGTACTCCACTTCAGAAAATTCGATTCAATACAAGAAGAACAATATAGCGAGTACGAACGGCTGCGGACAATCGACTCGGATCAGTCGGCCCTGAGGAAGACGAAGATGTCGAAACGCAAGCCGAATAAAGTTCTTTATATCAACTTCGTGTAAACTGAACAATCTTAGAAGATCACAATGTTTAACTTTCTATTTAGTGCCTAGTATTATTTTTCACGGCAGTATATGATGTGAAATACAACTACCATGATGCCGAGATATTTACGAAACTTGGACTCCACGCCGGATTCGAGCCTGCGATTACCCTTCCAGAGACCCAGTAGTTATCTACTGTACCACTGAGGCCCTTCTTTTGCCTTTCTCCCAGCCACCTTTGAAAGCACTAATCATTCATTCAGAGGATAAATAACGACTGTTCTGGAGCAACAACACCACTTATATTGAAGCCTTAGATTCTATCATGAGCGTGAAGCCAGACACATGACTACGACCAGGAAGATAACGATGACCAGTGGAGATTCTTAGGAATGGTCATATCACTCAAGAATGTCGACCGAAAGGATCTTCACAAGGACGACGCGATTTTCTTGTTGAGTCTGGCCTACATTCTCATCAGGAAGAGCTTATCCCATGACCTCTAGATGGAGCAGTCAAGCAGTCGCAATTCCGAGAGCGATTCCGCTGCATAGAACACATCCAAGCTGTTTTCATGGTCAGAAAAGGCTCTCGGAAATACCATTCATCCTTTCTCGTAACCTTTTTCGACTAGGAGAAAAAACGTCATACAGCGTTGGAAGAGTTATGCCACTCCATCAGCACTCATCAACTAACCAGTTCTACTCTCTAAAACTCTAACTAGTACGAACTACCCAACCACTCCGGTTTCTAGTCACTACTTCCAAGTAGACGTTATTAATTTGTCTACCAACGAATATAACAACCAAACTGACTAAAAGTTAACTTTATCTAAACTTAATTAACAAATAACTTTAACAATAACAAGTAACAACAATAATAACTAACAACTTCTAATTTTGACTTCTACAACTTTAACTTTAACTTTAACTAACAAACTGACTATCCCGAACCTACTCTGAGCTGAAACTAGTTGAAAGTCATAACGATTCCGTCGCGACTCCGTTAGGACGCGTGTGGCGCAATAGTCAGACATGTCCTGCAATATGCATGGGATCGATCCAGGCGCCCCAGGCTCAACAAGCCCACTATCCTTCTGGGGTCGACAAATTGGTACCAGACTTGTCTGGGAGGATAGCAACACTGGCTCGATACATCGGTAGGCCACCATGAGCCATTGTGAAGGCCAGATATGCATTCATTCACCTCCAACGATGCTTAACGAAGTCGAATGCATGGGCATTCCTCAGGGATTGATCAACTTTATCCTTTATATACGTTATCGGATCCATTACTACTATATGAGTATCGACTTGTCAAAGTCCGGATTCGATCCAAAAATTGTGACGGACGCGCCGTGAGCCGATCGTCGGTTGTGCCGGGGCCGTCTAGTGAACAGCAGCAATTGATCGTTCGGTGAGGGGTGGCTGGGTGTGTGGCACAACCGGCGCAAGAGGTGTGAGGGATGGGATGCGGACTCACTGCGTTCATTCCCGTCGTCGTTCTCTCTCTTATTCATAGTTCCTCTAACTCTAACGATCTCACAGAGTTTTTCTTAAATAGTTAAGTGACCTAGTACAATTTCTGAGCCGTTAACTGCTTAGAACAACTTGTTATGTTCGAGAGGAGTCCGCATTACTTGTAAAAGAAGGTGTGAACTGCCTACTTCCTACCTATTTATCGTCTTTTCTTCTTTCTTTGTCGTTTTATTTTCATACTATTCTCTGTCCAGACGTGTCCTACTAACAATATTATACGCTTATGCTTTCGTCAAAACGTTAAATGACTTACTACTACTGGAAATTAACTAAAACTTCGTAGGAAAACTTGTTATTCCTGAAAATATTACTCAAATATTTGTAAAGCAAGACGTAAATCGCTTCCTTCTTACCTTTCTGTCATCTTCCTATTCCCATTCTTCTCTTCGTATTGTCCATTTTCAAACTATAATGTTAAATCTGTTCAACTATACTGAAGTACAGAAGTATGATTTTCTTTGTTAGGATGGTTTCAACTATGTGAATAACCATATCTTGTTATGTGAGAGAACCAGTGGAGAAACATTGTTGGATTCGCATAGTTTTTCTCCTCCTTTTCCTTCTCTTTTTCTTTTTTTTTCTTCCGAATACACGTCATTTCGTGCGTCATGGAAGCCCGTGGTCCAAGTTGTCTTAAGTAGAGCACCCTTTTGTTCAGTCAATTTCTCAACGTCTTTTATTGGTCTAAATGATGAGCCGGGATAAAATTCGTTGTAAGTGATTCGGTTTTTGTTCTTCTTACTTCATTCTTAAGTGTAGATCACATACTTTTCGCTTTCTACTAATTACTAGAAAACACTTGGATTATATTTAGCTCCTAACCGACAAAGTGTTCCTCCTAGACTAACCTTGCTATTTCTTTAACTAGTTTGGAAAAAAATCGATGTGGGTTTTTTAAATTCTCGATACAATTCAGAGATGTTCTCAAGTTAGTCCTACAACGGTTGTGCTCCTTTTTTACTAGAAAATATGCTCCTTTCTTTGTCAAGACGTGTTTCCGATAGCATTTCAGTTCTATTTAAGTTTTATTTATATTGTGAAACATTCCTGTTAACATATTGCGTTTATAAACCTCACAATACTAAAATTCTACGATAGCCTTTTGCCAAAATGGAACTTTGTTTAGATTTACTGTGTGAGTTCACTCCTAAATCAGACTAGGTTGAGAAGATTTATACTATTTGTTCAATGGGTTTGATACTTACTTACTCGGGTCTCATCGTAGATTGCAGAGAACATTGTTACGGACATTATTTTGTAGTTATTACAGATTATTGGCTGTTTTATATGTAATGAGTAATGGCGGATATACCAAACGCTAATGTGGATGAGCACATGACGGCCAGTGGAAAGATCTGTGTTGACGATCCAACCGAATATCTTAAGAGGCAGCCTAAGAAAAGTATCTTGAAAATGAAACAGGTACGTGGTAATTATTTCAGTCTACCACTAACAAGTACTCTACTAGTCTTGTAATTGGCGCGTGTAGCGCACTGGTCGGAGACGCCTGCAATACACATGAAATCGATCCCCGCGCCCATGGCCCACTAAGCCTTCTATCCCTCCAGGGTCGACAAATTGGTACCAGACTTGTCTTGGAGGATAGCAGCACTGGCCCGATACATTGGTAGGCCACCGCGAGTCATTGTAAAAGCCAGATATGCATTCAATCACCTCCAACGATCCTCAATGAAATCGAATGCATGGTGCATTCCTCAAGGATTGATCAACGCCGAGAACTTAACCCTTATTTTATCCGTAACTGCTAAATAAAAACCTGACTGAAGACCTTAAGGAAGCCATTTTTCATACGTATTCTAAAGAATTGAAGCAACGTTTTTTCTTTTCGATTTTGATAATAGTGCCTTTCTTACTTTACACTGTGTTTTGGTATCGATACTAATGCGGTCATGAGGTATGTGGCAAAGCAACATTTAGCCCACTTATGAAAATCCAAGAAATTGCTGACTTTGATTTCGTTTTGGCTTCTCTGATTGTTCAGTGGATAGTTCAACAATTGAAAAGCCGCTGTTTATCAAATAATGTCAAAGAGAAATGTGAAAAGTCTAGCTACGGCACATTTCAAGCGAGATGTTAACAATTATATTGCAACTCTTCTGTTCTTTTTATATCCTGCTCTTAGGATTGTTGCTTCTGTATGCTTTTAGTAATTTCAGGAGGTATCCATAGATGGTAAGGATGGACGAGCACACTTTGATGAGATGAACATTTTAGCCACCTATCACCCTCCTGATAAAGACTATGGTAACATGAAGGTATGTAGTGGTGTTCTTCTTTGCATCATTCCTTACTTTCAGCATACTTTAGAGTACCCACTTTTTGGACTAACTTTATGGAAAGCCCATCACTACCGTTAAATTATTTAAAAATAAAAACGTGGTTTTCTTTTTCTGAAAGCATTTGTAGATGAAATTAACTAGTAAAAGTGCTCGAAGCAGGCTAACTTATTAAGTAATATGAAAAGATTCGGTCTATGAAAAAAATGGAATATTTATGGCACCAATTTAAGAGTAGGTGATCGTTTCTATCGTGGAGATGACTCCTTCCTAACCTATCCTCAGAAATGACAAATATTTTAAAACCAACTTTCCTTTAACCTTAGCATTTCTAGTCAATATGTATCCTTGTTTTGACAGGCTCGCACGAGGTTGATGTATAGTCTTTGTTAATCAGAGATATATAGTCTCGTGGAAGCTTATCGAAGAAAGAATACATATTGATGACAATTGTATAATTTTCGGATTACTAAGAGTGTGACAAAGGCTAGGATATCACTGAATTCTGCGTTGGAATTAAGGAGACAGATTTTCGATATACTCAAAGTATTCGTTTTACCAGTTTTGTGGTTATAGGTGGTTTTATGCTAGATTGTATCGCTACTGCATTATGTCTGTCGATGAACTCTGGAGTCACATGTGTTGTTAGACTAAGTGGTATATAAAATGATAACCGTAGTAGGAAGAATCAATTTCCCATGGCTTAAATTTATGGTCTGTATGCTAACACATAGGTGCATGCGGCGTAGTGGTTAGAGCTGCCCTGTATTGCACATGAATGTTCGATACCGCAGCCCAGACTTACCAGCCTTCCATCCATCCGGGGTCGCGAAATTGGTACCAGACTTGTCTGGGAGGATAGCAGCACTGGCTCAGTACATCGGTAGGACACTGAAAGTCATTGTAAAGGCCAGATATGCATTCAGTCACCTCTAACGATGCACAATAAAACCGAATGCATGGAGCATCCCTCAAGGATTGATCAACGCCGTGACCTTTGTCCTTTTTTCATTTAAGCGAGTAGATAAATTTCCAGCAGTATATTATGCTTAAATGGTTTACTATGGAGTCGAGGTGATTTCTCAATTAATCATATGTAAGGGAAACACTGGAATAGTTATAAATAAAGGTATAATGATGTGCTGCTTAAGATGAGTGAGTGCAGAGGTACTATATTGACCAATAAAACTCGTAGTTTAGTCAGTCCGCAATTTTGTTATAAATGGAGAGTTTAGCGCTATCATTTTCAGATCGACGAACCGAAAACACCATACAACTACTCGGATTGTGAATCAGAGGGTGACGATGTACGATGTTTTCTTATATGTCCAGTTCTTCCTTCACTAACCATTTTCATATTTTTCGATGTTGTTTCGATACAAGTTCTACATACTGTTGCATACTGATTTAAGGCTTCTGGTCAACCTACTCGAACTCGTCGAGTTTCCCTTGGAAAAGCTGTTAACCCGGAAGAGGTTGGCTACGTCTTTCCTTCTCTCTCTCTCTCTCTCTCTCTCTCTCTCTCTCCCTCTCTTTCTTTCTCTCGCCTTTTCGTATATATGTGTTCACGTTTTTGTAGATTTGTATCTATCTGGTCTACTGACTCTCATGGCCGCATACGAGAGTTTGTCTTTGGAGATTGCATGTTTTCATAATACGACTTCCTTCACCATAATATTATTCTTGAGAATATAGGTTGCTGAGGGACTCCAACAGAACACTTGTAGTGGATCTGTGAAGTCATTTGGTTCTGGGACAGACAGCGACGACGATGAAGCCCATCTTACACCCGAACAAATAGGTGTGTTAATCTTCATGTTTGAAAATTGGTACAATATTTAGCTTTGTACTCTCCAGGCATGAACTAATGTTTTTGTCCTTTCAGTGTTTATATCAAATCCTGTTTTAAATGTAAAATAAGTCGGAGTTATTTGTAAAACCCACACAGTCTTGCATCTAATGGTTTAAAATTTAGTGGATATCGAACTAAATTTCGATTTTTCTCTCGCACATATGTTTTTCAACTGGTTATGTATCTTTAGGAACTGTTGCTAATACAATCTTCTATATTAAATCATTTACCTAACTTTTCAAATGTTTTTTCGTGTTTACCTTCACAGTTGGGAATAATGCTAGCACCTTGCTTAACTAATAAAACCAAAACTATGGAATATGATTTTACGGGATATGCCACTCATATAATGTTGCGTGTAGCGCAGTGGTCGGAGGCGCCCTGCTACACGCACATGGAATCGATCCTCGTGCCCATGGCGCACCAAGCCTTTCATCTCTCCGGGTCGGCAAATTTGTGCTGGACTTGTCTGGAAAGATGGCAACACTAGCTCGACACATTGGGAGGCCACCGAGTGTTATTGTAAAGGCCAGATATGCATTCAATCACCTCCAGCGATGCTTAATGAAGTCGAATGCATGCGCATCCCTCAGAGCTTGATCGACGCCAAGAGCTTTTTTTATCCCACTCATATATACCTATGGGGGAACTTCAGAGTCACAATAATCTGTCAGTTTTCCTTGGCGATGAACTTGTTGTCATCGAAGACTCGTATTATCCACTGTTTTCAGCTCACAAACGAGAGTTTGAGAAGAAGCGTAAGTTACACTACAATGAAGGAGCTGCATTAAAAGCAATGAAGGCCCTGCTGGATGAGGATATGGATTAGTTCTTGTCTTTGATGTGGAGGGATGCAGATTTACATGTGTATGTTGTTTCCTTCCTCGTTTTATTCTTCTTTGTGCCGTAAATGTTTATATTATCATTTTATGTGGAGAGTTATATCATATGTGAGCCTGTAAAGAAAGTGAAATATATAAATTAGTTTGACTAGGATGTTTTTGTGCTTAGTGCTGAGTTGCACCTACTTTTCCACCAACGTATTTCTTTCCAAAGAACTGATCAATTGGATTTTTATTCAGCTTTATCATTCTCTTTCCTAAATCCTAGTGTGGGTTTGTTTTACCGAGATTAAACTAGTGTTTTATTATCTTCAAGATACTTCGTGTTACAGATGTTTGGTGTTTCTTTTCTATAAACTCGCTCACATTCCACTTTCTGTTAATCATGGAGCTATCCATTTGATTGAGTAGTCATGAAATAATAGCTTCATATGCAGCCTATGTATAGAAGAAAGTTCACTACTGTGTTATTTATTCACACCAACTATCACCTATGTCACCTTTCCCCAAGTTGACCGTCGAACCGGTGCCAGTAAAGTTTTATTCATTCCTGTCGATTGCTGGAATTACCCAATTGCTTTTGCACATTCAAGAGGCATAAAAAGTACAGAACTTTGCATTTCCATTTTTGTTAAAGAAGTGCAACCACGCGGCGGGTGGTCTTCCGTTTGACGCCCAAAAAAACCAGGTTGTCTTTTTGGTTAAATGCTCTAGACGTTGTTAGGACACTACGTGCTCGACTCACAGTCGATGCAGTGGCATGCACCAACATCACTAGTATAGGATTTCTGAGGCGTACGTTATTGATGGAAGAAATTGAATATTTCATGTATTTCCTTCACTAGGTTTTCGTTTTCTGTGTAAGCTGAGTTAGCAGATAGCGTGTAAATTCTATACTTACGAACATAACTTGCGCTCGTTCATGCAGGGAGTCTATAGGAAGTGATTCTTAGTCATGTCTCGTAGGTAAGTGGCTGGAAAAGTTGGACAAACTGCTGCCTGTGGAAATCGTCACCATCACTGGACCTGAAAAGCTGTCTCGTAATGATTATCGTCATACAGAAAAGTAAAGGGTGTTTTTCTCTGACATCAAAAGAGCAACCAGCTCGATAGCCTTGTGTTCGAAGAATAGTACGAATCTGCTAAAATCTCAGATACGTTTTAGTCAGCTCAGTGGAGGACAACTATGGTGGTCATCTGTGCTTACAACGCAGGCCACACTAGTATCAGAATTTCTTTTTGAAGACTTCACGATGCATGCCAGGGTAAGTAGGCATGATTTCAACAGAATGGCTGAGGCCACAAGACATTGCCCACTATATGCCGCTAATTATAGTGGCGAAGAACGTGGAACATGTGATACTAGGAGAGGCAGCTGTTTTCCTATTCGAATCGCATGGATCAAAGTTTATGATTCGAGGAAAATGTGGATCAATGCTGCTACTACAATCTTTGTTCTATGCGCCCGACCATCAAGCTATAATGAAGTCGACCTCGAAGCATTCAACGTGGAATTGTAAAAGTTCTATTGATAAGATCGTACACTCTATAACATCATAATTGGGAACGTCAACACAAAGACTGAACCCAAGGAGAGTATGTGAAGAAAGACTGCAAAGAAGCAGATGGTTCGAATAGAATGAGTAGGTTACCATTTGTTAGAGTTCATCATAGCGACGTGAACGATGCAGATAATTCAAAATTTCGATGAACCTCCTCTCAACGTTGGACATGAGAGTTTTCCATTTGGTACTACGATAATGGAATCCACCATGTAACAGCAAATAACAGGTTTTGCCCAATCGACGTCGTTGTTGACTCAAAATACCGCGTGGTTCGAAATGACCCCTTTCGCACAGGATTCTCTTTTTGACACGAAGGAAGAAAAGCCGCAGAATTCAGGATATGAACAATCGTAGACTGAGACTTCCTGACATCCTCAGCCAGCTTCTGTGAAGATGCATTTATCCAGATATCGAGGTACTCGAAAATGGAGTATGGCATGTAACCATCAGCCTGCGATCGAATTTTGTAGAACTTTACGCTAAAACGTAACACAAGACCTTAAGGAGAAAAGAACAGCAACAATGGTGGGAGCTGGAGAGGTTAGGATGAGTATGTACTTTTCCAGTAACAAATCGCCTTTTGACTGTTAACCGGAGTGGTCGGTTCATCTAGAAGAGCAGTGGGAATCAGTGGTGATTTCCTTTCTAGGTCAATGTTTTCCTGAGACTTTGTATGACTCTTCATCACGTCATGGCAGATATATCGTTAAAAGGGTTCTGTTTTTCATCTTCCATAACCGGACAAACTCTCTCGTTATTGAAAAAGTGTGTGGTCTATGTACGTTTCGACAAATGTGGAACCTCCGAACAATCACAAAAACGAAATTTGCATTAAAAGATTCATAAGTTTTACGTTGTCGCCAGATAGAATAATCCACAGTAACGTTCCCAATACTTGCTAGACCACTACAACCGGCGAAATGTGTCAGGAAACTGACACAACGCATCAAGATCTCTGATTTTGGCAACCATATGGTGCACCATCAATTAGAAAAGTTGTAAGAATTTGAACACGAAGAGCCATCTCATCCATCGTACTCATCCTAACTCTCTCCAACCACCATTTAAATTTATATCTAATAAACTGGAAAATACAAGTATGGGACGCGTGTAGCTTAGTGGTTAGAGGCGCCTTTCAATATACGCGAGACCATCCCGCACCCAAGCTCACCAAGCCTTCCATCCTTTCGGGTTCGTCGAATTGGTACTAGACCTCTTTGGGAGGGTAGCAGCAGTGACTAAATACATCGCTAGGCCATTGCGAGTCATTGTATGGACCAGTTATGCATTCAATCACCCCAACGATACTTAGTGAAATCGAATGCATGGCGCAATGGCCTAAGGGAATGATCGACGCTGAGAGCTTTATCCTTTTTAACCTAGCAAGTGCCAGTGAAAAGAAATGTTCGAGAACAAATTCATTTCAACGTAACTTCAGAATGTCAGTGAACCCCTGACATTTCCTCGTGATTGTACGAGCAAATTTCTTTTTAGAAATATATAAATTCTAGTGGTTTTATAGTGACTATTAAAACATCCTATATGAGCTATAGCACGAGTATTTTAGGTCGAAGGCCAGATATCAACATTAATTTATGGACAAAAGCGATATTTCTGGATATTCCTGGTAATTAACGCACTACGCATCAACGGAATGTGTTGTTGAGTTTCTCGGAATCAATATCCCACACGAACGCATAGAATCATTCCGACCCATTGTTTCAGTTCATTGTAGGAAAAGGCAATCGTGAGGAGCATAGATGGAAATGAAACGGCGAAAAGTCGTAGAGAGGCACATAAGGAAAAACATTACTTAGCACGGATCATTCGCAGCAGATACTATTCACTTTTAGCTTTTTCTTAAATAGGAGAAGAAAAGTACATCGAAAGAAGAATATTCTCCCACCTATAAAGAGATCCCATTCAAACCCATTTTTCTTCCTTCATTTCTTTCAGCGATGTGAGAGCTGTTCCTCAGCGTTATCGGATAATTCTAGTATCTCAGTGGAACTACAGCTAAATAGGTGTAAATAAGTCGGATTCACCTTCGTGACCGAACCACCATAAAGCAAGTGTGATTTAGATGGATGGAAGCTTCATCTGTGACCGAACCACTCAAGAACCAGATGTAAACCAGAGATGGGACAGCACTGTGACCAATTTTTTGCAAACCATTGTTTGGCTTGTTTCAAAGAATACATGGAGACTTCAACTACTATGTACGAATGAGCGAAAACTCAGAATAGACTCACCATTCATGTAGACCCAACAAGTTTTCAGTTCCTTCCGTTCCTTCACAATCACCTTTCATGGTATCGATGTGTCCAAAACATGTTTATGTCTACGAGCATTACCAATTATTCCATTCACTGTTCGCTACTGCGAAAGCATAGATGTAAGCCGGATATGCGTCCGCCCATCTTGTGGCTAACTAGTTGCTTCAAAGAACGCTTGCATTCTTTTCGTTATTTGATTGCAAGCATGTTATTGAACGCTGCAAGCAGGTAAAGATAATGTGTTTTCGAGTAAACCAGAAATCAAAATGATGCGTTCACGCTCTGAAAAGGATGAAGTTTATTAGAAATCCAAGAAATCCACTTGGTGTAGAGACTCTCTCCCTGTCCATCTAGAAGAACAAAACTCGAGAAGAATCAGTAATTCGCATAAAGAGGTGATTCTATCATCAATAAACCAATCATAAAAGATACTATGGGCATGGTCAGTTATTTGCCGTAGTCGTTCTGTGGACCATTTGCTCTCATTGTGTGTCTCGACCTAGTTAAGATATTCTCCATTACACAACTATAGTGGAGAATCATAGAAATACAAATGGAAACGTCGCCATGACTGTTAAGCTAAACAGTTAAAAAATAGTGCGGTCAACTTTTCTCGTCCAGTGCATTGCTCTCTTGATACACAATGAACAATAGAGGGAAAAGTAGTGTTCATGGAAAGTCACCGACTCCCCAGGGTGGTCAAGTTGAATCATGCTTGTCTGAGAAAAGCTCTCTCGGATCCACACACGTTAGAGATTTCGTGCAATAAAAACATGGGAACGGGAACGCCCTAATCAAGCTGTTGCAGAAATCCACGGAAAAATAAATTGTCCAGCATCTAATGACAGTCATAAACTTGAAGATACCCACGTTTGGCATTCGAACCCACACATAAATCCAAGGGCATTTGCGGATAATTGATACGAGGGAGCGACTCGAATTGAAGATGTGCTGGAATCCGCACAATATATAATGGTGAGTCATGTAAAAATAGAAAAAAAACCATTTATGGACCAATAATTTTCCTTCGACACTTCTAAGTAAAAGCAACTAGAGGTTTTAAGAAGCGGTAATAAAGGAAAAACGATAAAATTAAAACATTGGCAGAATAATGCGTCATGCATCCCAATTCTTCAAGCATCGTTA